CCTTGATCTGTTCGAGGAGCCTACAAGAGTCGTAGACAGGGAGGTTTTCCGTGCCATAAAGATCATCCCAGGTAGGGAGAATTTATAGGATGGCTCCGGTTGAGTTGGCGACAACTGAAAGAGCTCATAGAGAAGGGTTGGATACGGCCTAGCACCTTCCCCTTTGGCTCACCAGTATTATTTGTTCCAAAGAAAGGGGGATCACTAAGGATGTGCATTGATCAGATAGGCCTCAATCCCATCACTGTTAAGAACCTAAAGCCTCTACCACGCATCGACGACCTATTGGACAGGGTGCAGGGATGTTAATACTATACTAAGATAGACTTAAAATCCGGTGACCATTAGATTGCTATAAGACCAGAGGACCAGCACAAAGCCACATTCCAGACCAGGTACGGTCTGTACGAGTTTGTGGTGATGCCCTTTGGCCTTTGCAATTCGCCGGGTACATCCCAACACGCCATGAATAGGATTTTCCATGACCACTTAGATAAGTTCATCGTCGTGTACCTCGATGATGTACTTATCTTTAGTAAGACTGTCAAGGAACATGCCCAACATGTAGACAAGGTACTTTCACTCCTTCGGCTGCACAAGTATAAAATAAACTTAGAAAAATGCGAGTTCGGTCGCACTCGAATCTTGTACTTGGGTCATGAAGTCTCCGCGGATAGGATTAGGCTCGAAGATGCGAAGGTGGCTAGCATGCGTGATTGGCCACGACCTCAGTCTGTGATTGAGGTCAGATCATTCTTGGGAATGTGTGGTTATTACCGCACCTTCGATAAGAACTATAGCACGATCACATCTTCCTTGACTGATCTAACTCGATTTGATACGCCATGGGAATGGACCGATGAGTGCGCGACAACTTTCAAGCTTTTGAAGCATGCACTCATGCACCATGAGGTTGTCATGGTACCCATTTGCAAAGGCCGTTTGTTGTAACCACTGACGCAAGCTAATACGACATAGGCGCAGTGCTGGCTCAACACGAAGGGAAAGAGTTGGGACCGGTCGAGTATACGAGCAAAAAAAATGCCATCAAAGAAGTTGGCAAAGTTCACCTATGAGAGGGAACTCTATGCCCTCTACAAGGCACTTGTCCACTGAAGGCACTATCTGTTAGGAAGATTCTTCTGTTTGAGAATGAACCATCAGACCCTTAAGTGGATCAAGACACAACTGGTTCCCTAAAATGCACTCAAACTTTGGATTGAAGTCATAGATCGATATGATTTTAAACTATACTATGTGAAAGGAGAGTACAACAAGGTTGCAGATGCATTGTCTCGTAGGGAAGATTACCTAGGTGCGCTGATTTATGAGTGTGGTCTTTCTGAGAATGTTACTCGGACCTTGGGGGAAGCATTATCAACAAACTGGAGGCCAAAGACAAGGTCACCACTGATGAGTTTGTGATGGTGGATGGGTTACTCTTTCTTGGGAAGGCAGGGTTTAAAAGGTTAGTTGTTCCATCTAGAGAGATTTTGCGTAGTTTATTTTTAGGTGAGTGCCACGACGCATCGGGACATTTCGGCTACAAGAAGACTAATGCTAATTTAGTACAGCGATTCTGTGGCCTAACATGCTGGACGATGCAAAGAAGTATGCACAGACCTGTGAGGTCTGTCAGCGGGACAAACCACGTACTCAAGCTTCGCTTGGGTTACTAAAGCCTCTACCCATCCCTGCTGGTCCGGGACAAAGTACCTCCGTGGACTTCATGGATACCCTCGTGACTAGCAAGAGTGGCAAGAGACGTATCTTCGTCATAGTTGATAGGTTCACTAAATTTGCTAGACTAATTGCCATGTCGGAGACCGCCTGGACTGAACACTTCATCAAGTTATTCATGGATAACTGGGTGCGTGACTTTGGACTGCCAGAGACGATCGTTAGTGATAGAGATGTGCGTTTCACAAGCGAGATGGGGAAGAAGAATGTTGAACAGATGGGCAACCAGCTCCAAATGACTTTTGGGAATCATCTCGAAGCCAATGGGCAGGCTGAACAGATGAACCGGGTCGTGCGTCATCTGGTGAGGCATTATATTAAGCCCAACCAAAATCACTAGGATGAGAAATTGCCTCTCATTGCCAGTCTGTACAATAACGCAATACACAACACCATCATCTTGTTGCAAGACTGCACCAATCCCATACTGGCTCGTGTTCGTAGTGTCTACGAACGTGGGGTTGGGATCCGCAATGAGGAGCACATGATGACTTACCAAACGTAGTCCCGAGAGTGGGTGAGCATAAGCACATGATGACTTACCAAACGTAGATGACTTTTTTCAAGGCTTCAAACGTAGTCTCGCATTTCTCGCACCAAGCATAAGCAACATTTTTGCTTGTTAGTCTCGAGAGTGGGTGAGCAATGACAAAAAAATTGGACACAAACTTCCGGTAATACGAAGCCAAACCAAGAATAGAACGCAGTTCGCGTACATTTGTCGGTTGAGGCCACTTTCGTATGACCTCAACCTTGGTTGCCTCCGACTCAAGACCGTTTGCAGACAACCGGTGCCCAACATAGATGACGTTGTCCCTTCCAAACTCAAATTTCTCGTAAGTTGAGGTGCAACTGTGCCTCCTTGAGGATCTGCAAGACTTCCTCAAGGTGCTTGACGTGCTCTTCCATGAGACTTGCTGAAAATTAGGATGTCGTCAAGGTAAACAATAACAAACCTGTTGAGCTGATGGCGGAGAACCTTGTCCATGAGGCACTGAAATGTGCCTGGTGCATTCGTAAGACCGAAGGGCATAGCGATGAATTTGTACAACCCATCACGTGTTTTGAATACAGTCTTATGCTGCTTGTTCGGGTCAACTTCAATCTGGTGGTAGCCAGACTAGAGGTCGATCTTGGAGAAGACCTTGCACCCACCTGCAGCATCTAGCAGATGAATTATGCGAGACAAGAGATAAACGTTATTTCTGGTGATATGATTTAGGCCACGATAGTCGATGCACATCCGGAGTTTGCCTCCTTTCTTTGGCACAAACAGGACAGGTGCACCGAACTCGGACTCACTGGGCCTAATCCATCCACGACCAATCATGTCGTCAATTTGTCTCCTCATCTCCTCCAACTCGCCTTGTCCCATACGGTAGACGCATCCCTTCGGAGGAACACTCCCTTCTATTATCTCGATCTTGTGTTTGACCAGACGCTCGAGGACTCCAAGAGGTTCAACCAGAACTTCAGGAAATCGATCTAATAGACAACAAATGTTTGTTGGGACTTCCGGTGGAGGATCATCCTCATCAGGAGAGAGAAAATCAAATTCAACAATAACAACCGAATTCGAAGTAGTTGGATCAGAAGTAGACTTATTTCTTATAGTAGAAGTAGATGGAATAGAAGTAGAGGTAGTAGAAATAAAAATATTTTTCGAGGTAGAAAATGCAGCAAAAGTAAAAGGTACATGGAGGGGCTTCAGAAGGGCTACATGCACACACTTAGCTTCCTTGCGCCTGCGCACCGATTTGCAGAATCTGTTTGCACTCAGAAGAGTCACTGGGGACTTGTGCGTCTCGTCCAATGGAACGGTACGCTCGTTCCCCTTTGCATCACGCACCACAAACTGAGTATCCGCCCACTTGGTCCCTAGACGATAAGCCTTTAACTAGCCCAAGCCAATGACCGCGTCAAAAGGACACCTGTCGAAGATATAGAAGTTCAACTCATGTGTAACAGTGCGATCCTTGTCAAATGTGATGCGCACACCTTTGACAACATGTGTTGAGGTGACAACCTCTTGGGTGCCTACCTCGGTTTGACAAGGGTTTTGCAATTCCACGTGCTTTATTCCTTGGCCCGCCTTACGAATCCCGTTAGGAGGAAAGAAGTTAGTCGTTGAGCCATTATCAATCAACACACAGATGTAGGGGTTAATGAGCAACTTAAAGAAGATCAGTTTCACACTCCCTTGAACACGGCGTTGCAGCTTGACCTTCAACCAATGTTCCAGGTGAGAGTGGAAGTTGACTTTCTTAGTCTCCTCCCAAGGCTCAGTGTAAACTACTTGGACTGTGGCAGCCTTGGATTCAAAATTAGTCCGGGCTTCAAGAGCAGGCTGTTGATCAGATTCAGGCTCCTTGGAGGGGCCTGCAACTGACTGTTCAACTTCCCTTGTTGTAGAGAGTGCTAATGACTCTTCTACGCCCTTTGCCTGTTTCCCTACAGACGATAATAATCCTGCACAGCGTGCCCAGGCTTTTGACAATGCAAGCACACATTCAGTTTGGATCTTCTCTCTCATTCCTTTTGACTATTGCGGAGGGCTTCCCAACGCTTGGTGGAGACATCCTCCGGCTTCTCAGGAATCTTTGCGTTCTTGGGAAGGTGGGTTATGGTTCCCCTACGCGAACCACGATTAGGCCCTTTGCTTGAAGCAGTCTTTTTAGAGGCATTACATTTTTCTTCGGTATTCATGTCAGACTCAAGGGCTGACGTAGAACAACCCTTGTTAGAGTCCGACTCTAGATTGTCATCTAGAGACAGATCATCCGCATAGGACTGATTCTTAGCCTCCCGATGTTCATGTAGGACAAGCTGGTTGCTGCTTCCGTATCGTTTGCGTCATAAAGTTTGACCTGCAACGGGTGTCTTCGCACGCCCGACGATGTCTTTGGCTTCTAGGTTGACTAGATCCGTCAGGAGCTCACACCAGGTCGAATGGTCCGTGAGTCCTAGCCGAGAGACACAATCTTCAGGGGCCACTCCCATAACTACATTCATGCAAGACACGTTAGTCCATCCAAGGTTTGGAGTAGTGAACAAACCAGACAAGTGTTGCTCCAAAGCCTGCATGGAAATCCTCCACTTTTGGCCTTTGAGGGCCTCAAGCTTAGGCTGTGCCTTGAGCGCAACGTGCTTATCTTGATACTGCGTGATGAGGAGGTCCTCAAGAGTACGTATATGAGTCTTTTTCAACCACTCGGTCAGGTCAATTCTTTCATAACCTGCACTAACAGCTTGGAGTTTATGAAACTCTGTACAACGGGCTCAATATTTGTGCTCATGACCATGCTTCGGTCTTCTTGAGGTGTTCACAATACCTCGAAGTATAAGCGCATGGAGTTGATCCAAGAGGTGATGTCCCCCTTCCCGTAGTACTTGGACGGCAGCGTGGCCGCCCTCTTGTCCACTATGGGACTGCTGTATTGTACGCCAGTAAGAACTGCAGCGTTTTGGGCTGATGTTCCCGCATTTGGGAGGACTGAGACCAGTGCAGAACTGTCGGCGCTGCCGCTTGAGGAGCTGGCACGGGTTCCTGCGCTCGTCACAATTCCACTTGCTCTCTGCATGAGGTGTGTGTTAGCGTAAGAGACTGGGACTGCAGCAGGACGAGGATTAGGAGGACGAGGGGCAGTCAGTTGGGCTTGTTTGAGGTTGACGATCTCAACCTGCAACTCTTGGTTATGCTGCTCTAGAGCTGTCACACGGGACTCGAGATCTTCCAAGGTCCGCAGTTGAACCAAGGCTGCTACGACAACAGTTAGCTTCTCTGTGAACCGGGCATCACTAGACTCCAGAACCTCGAGGAGAGCCACTTGGGCAGCAATACTTGTAGCTTTGGTTGCTGCTTCTACCTCCTCTCTGTGCATCGCGTCCTCATAAAGTTTCTGAAAGAACAGTTTCTCGCTCTCGTTCGCTGTGTCCAGCATGGCCTGCCATTGGGCAGATGAGATGTCTGCCATGATGGAGGATGGGGTATTGGTAGATCTCTCAAGAGGGGTCCGGTCCTTTCTCAGGTTTGGACGAACGCTTCTCTTACCCCTCCTCACACTCTCAAACAAAATACGTTGACTCTCCCTTCTCTCTCTTTCCGCTTTCTGCGTACGCGTCTCAATATTGGACATAGATAGTTCGGATAAAAGAAAAACAAATAAATCACAAGGAGCAGAAGGTAGAACTCATACCCGGAGCGAAAATTCATTTGGACTTCGAGAAGGACATTCACGCAACAGAATAAGAAAAAAGAACAAATCAAAGAGAGGATTGGTGTAACGAACGGGTCCGATCAGATTAGTTGGAGATCCCCTCTTGTCTAACCCGACAAGGAACAAACACCACGAATAAGTGAGCCGAAGAAATATAATTGCAGCAATGGAGATTTTGAGGGGTGCAAACGGTCGCCGAGCCAGACACGGGCCAGTATGTGAGAACATGCAGTAAGACCATTCAAGATCCCCTTGAAAGGAATGTCCCTACTACCCGTGTGTCCCCCAAATTCAACACAACAAAGAAACATACTGGCGGCTACAGATTTGGGTCCTAAAGGTCATGTCCCATTGGGCCTGGTCCCACTGAGTCCCGAAGGGTCCAAGTAGGTTGTGGACCAGGACCAATGAGAGAGGTGTACCAAGTTAGACCCAAACTGCCTCTACCGTACTGAAAAAGGAAAAGACAACTTTCAGCAAGAACCTGCTCCTACAGCCGTTCAGAATGTAAAGACACTGCACTATAGATAGATATGTCATTGAGAACAAGATACATCATCTATCCATCCATCAGGTGAGAAAGCAATCCACATGCGCACACACACAACCAAGACCGCAGAGAAGAGGAAGAGAGCCCAACACACCCCAACAGGCCATGAAGCACCAAGCAACCACCCATGGGCATACCCAAGTCACACGACACTTACCTGTGAGACCCAGGGACTCACCCCCCTCTCTCATAGGTCCTCCTGACCCCTAGCTACCACTACACAAAGTGTCCTAGTATGACTAATACGGCCTCCCTACACCCCTGTTACAATGCTGGATCCTCCGTCGATGTTGAAGACCAAAGTAGCAACTTGCAGCTCTTCGATGCAGATATGGCAGCCTCCGATCAAGTCTCCCTCTTGAGGGGAAGCCAAAAAGTCACTCAATGTCTTCTTGAAGTCCAGGTTCCAGGTGTGAGTGCCTCTCACTCTCTACTCCCTCTCGCTTATTCCAATCAGCTTCCTTTGTGTCTCACCACCCCATTCAATCACACAAGCAACTTGGTCAGGTTTGATGTTGACCCATCATGACCTAACCAGGTGGGGGCAGCATCCACATACCTCACTGCCCCTCTTAACCCTAACCACCAACCCTAATCCGAGATTAGGTTAGCCCTAACCTAATTTGGAATTAGGGTTAGGGTGATTGACACCTCTCGCCAACAAGTACGTCCGCTCCGATACCAATTGTTACGACCCTGGTCATTCCCAAAGTGCAAATTCACAATGAAAGACATTGCTACCCAATTGCGAAAGAAATGGAAGCACTTGCAAAGAGATAGAGACCAAAGAAGAAGAAGAAGAAGAAGGAGATGTACACCAGCAAGACCAATGACAAATCCCCCTTCTCTCTTCGCTTTTCTCCTCCTCCTTCACTTCGCCAATCTTATTCTTCTTCCGTTAATAATAATAACAATAAGTGGATGAACCAGAATCAATATCTGAAATTCCTTCTTACTGCTGACACAACATCAGGTCCACCCTAGCTATGGCTTCCCCCCTTCTTCCTCCTCTCACTAGCCTAGGCTATGGCGGACTACTAAGGGCTCTGCCCTCCTGTGCAAAGGACAACGTAAAGCAGCTATGTCACTGCACTCCTGTCCAAAAGACAACCCAAAGCAGCTATGTCGCTGCTCACTAAGCTGCCATGCCCGACTGTGCCTCGAGCTTCGTTGATGTGGCACTACCCTAACTGGGGCCTTCCAGATGCAGCGCCCAACAAGGCGATGAAGATGGTGTCCACGATATCCAGGTAGGTACCTCACCACTCTCCTCCTTCACCCCCTTCTTCCTCCTCCTCAGGCTGGGCTGCTCACCATAGCCAGGCTAAGCACCCAACTGCTCTTCTCCTCCAGGCAGCGCTTCCCAAGTCCAGCGCTTGGCTCCAGTAGCATGTCGCCAATTGTGGCATACTGCTCATCCACACGGGCCTGCAGGGCCCGACCAGATGGAAAATAAGGGCCTACAAGCCCTGCGTCGTTTCAGCCTAAAAGCCTGAAAACGAGGGCCATTTTCAGGCCCTCATAAAGTCGACTTGCCCTGAAACTCAGGCACCAGACCAGGGTTTAGCACAAGCCATTTTTGGGCCTGTTTCAAGACAGTCTTTGTTTGAACTTCAACGCCAGGGTCTGACACGTTCCGGCATTGGCAAGAGTAGCCTCTCGAACGGGCCAGCACTATATAGAATTGGCCCGCCCAGCAGGCTGCAGGTATCTCATAGGGGCTTCCCAGGCAGTTCACGGGCACTTCACGTGCAGGAGGCAGGAGGCTGGAGGAGCGTTGCAGTAGTAGTAGTAGCGTTAGGAGTAGCCTTCAACACTGGGCACTATTAGGAGCTAGAGTACCGTTGGAGAGAGAGAGAGAGGGTTGGCGGAGGCCAGGGAGACTTACCTGTGGTGCCATAGCCCAACTTCGTCTTCGATGTACCTACAACAACGCGCCACCTTCACAGGTTAGTACCGGACTGAGAGAGAGAGAGAGAGAGTTCTTCTTCTTCCTCTTCTAAGTCCACCATCTCCCCCTCACCCTCTCGCTGCCAGACTTCTCAGTATTTGCAGATTA